CAGTGTTGTTCATTTGTCTGATGAAGAACCTGCGTGCTCGAAACGTCACATATGCTATGCGACAGTTTTTTTTTTTTTTTTAAATACATTTTTTGATATTTTTGGAGCTTTGGTGTTGCCGACTTCACATCAAAAAATTTTCCGCCTGAATCAGGTGAGAAATATACACAGATCAAGCACGGTCTATAAGTGAAACATTTCTAAACAAATATGTGACCCTGGACCACAAAACCAGTCATAAGGGTCATTTTATTTAAATTGAGCTGAATAAATAAGCTTTCCATTGATGTATGGTTTGTTAGGATAGGACAATATTTGGCCGAGATACAGCTATTTGAAATAAAGAAATCTAAATATTCGGAAAATCGCCTATAAAGTTGTCCAAATGAATTCCTTAGCAATGCATATTACTAATGATAATACATTGATACATTTACGGTAGGAAATTTACAAAATATCTTCATGGAACATGATCTTTACTTGATATCCTAATGATTTCTGGCATAAAAGAAAAATCGATAATTTTGACCCAAACAATGTGTTTTTGGCTATTGCTACATAATATACCCGTGCTACTTATGACTGGTTTTGTGGTCCAGGGTCACATATGTTGGTGGATTTTGATGTGAGACAACAGGAGATGGACTTTTTCACTGGAGGAAGCATTATGGATTAAGTGATATATTTTGGCAATGATTTAAAGTTAGAACATGTTAATGATGGATTTGTTTCTTACAAACACAGACATTAATTGATGAACTGTAGTCGCAGTTGATGTAATGCTACATTTCTGCTAAATCTGTTACAGTGAAGAAAAACTCATCTACATCTTGGATGGCTTGAGTAAATTTTCAACAAATTTCCATTTTTGGGGGAACTATTCCTTTAACTCACGAACATAATGAAACATCACTCTTCATATTTACAAAATATCTTGTCTTTTTTTTCACATTAGCAAAGAAACTACCCAAGAATGAGCCTCCGCCTGCAGGTGCCAGCACAGGACGCAACAGAGGTGTGGATCTAACAGAAACGGCACAGCCCGCGAAAGGTCCCTGCTGTAGCAACTAAACACTGACGGTCCTCACCGCCTAACCAACCGCATCACATCTGGACATGGGGCTCCTCCTTCCAAACCTCGCTCCTTGGATTAGCTAAAGACTCTGTATAGCCGTGTTTCTAATACTTTTTTTTTACTTTTTATTTTTAAGGGAAAATTTTTGGATTAGCTAAAGACTCTGTATAGCCGTGTTTCTAATACTTTTTTTTACTTTTTATTTTTAAGGAAAAAAAAAATTTAAATCAGCAGTCTACTGAGTGCATGTATCACTACAAATGCTAAATACACATTTTAACTTAATTTAGCAGGAGAACAAACCCGGATGAAAGCGTGAGAGAGAGTGAAATATTGAGTGCGTTTGTATGCGTTTAGTATGTGGAACTGATTACCTTATATCTGCAGACATTTTCTGCGAAAATGAATTAAAACATGCTAAAAATGTGTTAAACAAAGCTGTTTTTAGTGGTAACTGTAAGCATCATCAAATCAAATTAGCAAACTAATAAACTTCGTGAAATGCTATCACGAAAGTGCATGCAGATTTCATGCAGGCCTGTTTGTGACTAAATTGAATCGGAGAAAAAGTTTAAAAACTGCTTAAGAAAAAACAGATCCCCCACTTGCTCCATCAGCAGCCGGTTTAAGTTGGTTTTGGGTTGTAGTTTGGATGCAGTAGCTTCTCATTCTAGTTAAGCATCCCTCAGTGCATCTGCTGTGTCCTCAATATGCAACATATTGCAGTGTGGCTATGATGATAATGAAAATATTGGGCCTTCATGAGCGTTACTCAAAGTCATCCAGCTCTTTGGCAGGGGAATCTTACAAATGGCTTGGTGAATCGATATTGTCTTTGGGGATAAAGAACAAATCAAGGAAGGCAGTCAGTAAAACATGTTCAACCTGCTGTATGAATGATTATTATTATTAATTGGGACTGTATTCTTATCTCTGTGTTATGCTTATACACTTAATGTCAGGCCCAGATGGAATCTGTGCATTTTCAAGGGCAAAATCTACTGAATTCTGAGGATTCAAATGTTAAAACATGTTCAGTGGACTACAAGCTTATTGGTAGCTGTGCATAACAAAT